ATTTTTTTTTTTTTTTTTTTTAGAAAGACAAGTTTATGTTAAATCACAAATTAAATTGTCTTAGAATGTTGAATATCAGGACACTTACATCATATCCTTCGCGCTTAGCTTGTGGAATGTCATTTAGTAGTTTTGATGCACAAATTTTAAGCCTGGGAAGAAATGAAAAAAAATGGTTAATGAATCGAAATAAATTATCGTAAAAACATTTCTTAAAATCACCTTTCGGCAGTAAATTCCGTGTTCCACAACAAATCACGTAACCATTGAATTCCGGTTGCATATTTGGAAGCCTAATAGTTAATTTCAAACAAAATAAATGATTCTTTAAAAAGTAACTCTTTTCATTTCCTATGAGCACTAGAAAGCTCGTATCTTTAAATTTTTAACGTACTTCAACTTTGACAGAGAAACAAATCATTCCCTCATAACCTTTAATTCCAAGATTATGTTCATAGCTAACGGTATCTTTGTTCAGTTCATTAACCACTTGTTCAAATGTTAAACGTTCACCATTAGGTCTATTCAATGGCAAGCTATAAAATGATTCGAGATAAATTTCTAGATATGGGCGAAGATTGATGGGAATAGATTCTGTGGTGATATAGACAGAAATAGTTATGAATGCAGAATTGATATCTAAAGTCAATAATGAGTTAATTATGAGTTAATGCATGATAAACATAATAAATATTAATAATATAATGTTTTGCGATTATCTAAAAAGGATACGATCGAATTGAATAAAGTATGGAATGTCTACCAAGTTGTCACTATCAAGATGATCTTGAACGATATTTTTGCTGAATATAAGATGATATGGCAATAATCAACTAAACTATAATCATAAGCATATTGCATAATTTATATAAAATATTACATACAATGTTCCTTCAGATTTATTTCTACCAGTAATGACATTTATAAATGTTATACTTTCAACACTTGGAACTGGAAAATTTTCTAAAAAAAAGGCATATAATTAGTCAACTTGATTGGTTTATGGAAAATTTTAGCAAATCATAATTTTTACCAATAATTTTATGCGGAATGGGTTGATTATTTGTTTTATTGGCATTTTCTAATTTTTTTTCTAATTCCTTTAATTTTTCAGGACCTAACGTTTCACGTTGTTTTTCGATACGTTGAAGTTCATCATTTAAAAGTTTCTCTGCAAATTTTGCAGATGGGCATCCCAATAACGCAATGTAAGGATTATCAATATGATATCTATCAACATATCAAGATAAGTATGTCATATAAATTGATTATTCTATTAATTTAAGACCTTTATCTCATACTGACTTTTTCAAATATTCAATCCATTGCTTCTCAGAAAAATTTGCAAGTTGATCATAATAACTTAGATCTTTAACGGCTCTTTCAAGATCTTCACCGGTTTCTTTACCATATACATGGTCTAAATTTTAAAATAAATTAGTCAATGTATTATTACATTGCGATATTTGTCGTTTTATAATATGAACAAATAAAGAATATTGATATATTGACGTACGCAATATAAAAGGTAACATACCTACAATACAAAATCCAGAAAATGTATCATGCGGATTTACTTCAATTTCATTCAAAGTCTGTTACATTAGAAGAGCAAATGAATATTGTATTATTTTACAGTTCATAAAAATATTGAGTCATATATACCAACCTTTAACTTATCACGTTGAATTACAGTTTTCATGCGTTCCATATCAATTCCTTCTTTATTAATAATTCTTTTAAATACATCAAATAAATTATTAACAAGATCTTCCAATTCATCCGTTGGAACATTTTCAAAAGTTGCCAAGATTGCTGTTCGGGTTTGCTCATGGATAGAGATATCAATGTCTAATACCAAGATGCAATTATTTTCACAAATATATTAACATTATTAAACAAGTTTAATGGCGTTTAAAATCACCTGTGCATAATGGCTCTTCAATTTCAACAAATTCTTTTTGTAGTACTGAAACTGCAGAATCTGACAGATATCTAAATAGAAAAACAAAAGAATTAGCTAATAATTACTGGATTTAATAATTATTTTTTAATTCAAGTTCAATTGTTGGTATTATTTGTCACAAAGACTCGGCAAGCATTTATATTCGAAATACTAAAAACTTACTCATATAAAACTTCCAAAGCTCTAATATCCAAAACTTTCTAAATTCATAAAACAAGGATTAACTTGTAAAATTCAAATTTTATGAACGATAAATCATGATTCAAATATTCACATCAATCGTGGGACCAAGCCAAGCAATTACAACTTGACCCATGCTCTCATCTTCATCCGGAAATTCAACAGTCTCCTGTATAGATTTTTCAAGTAATGGAATTGGTGCAGAATCAACAAATGGCCTAATAGTTGATGTATTAAATTAGGACGCTATAATTAATTATTTAATGCCCCAGCTGATACTGAAATTGATAGATACTGAAGTTTGAGGTTTCTGTTTGAAATACGAACTTATATTAAAATCTAGCTCTTTGTATTAAAACCTCTAACTCTAACCTAAGTCTAAAAGAATATGCATTCAGAGATTCTTAATCTCATTAAAATAAATATAAACTTCGACATCAACCATTTTCAGCATCAGAAGTAACAATTTAATATCTAAATGTTATAATTCAATACCGTTTACGAGGAGGTAAAGTTCCTTTAGATGCAATTCTGTCATCTAACGGATCAAGAACTTTAAATAATTCAGAATGTGAAATTTTACCAACGATAATTAGACATAAATTATCAGGCCTATAATAATCTTTATGATACTAATAATTATAGAAGCTGTGTATTAGTATTTATACCATAAATCATAATGAGAACTAGAAACTTACTTGACGAACTGTAGTTATATTAATGAGATTTATTCATTAGAAAATGATGTTTATTAAATCATTATAGAGAAGAATTTAATAAGTCATACTTTTCTCAACGCCAAGTTGTCTAAGACATTCCATTAAGCCACCAGTTTCACTACGATACCCACATCCTTCCGGATACATTAATCGTTGATATCTACACGTAAGCCATTAATGAGACAGAAAATATGAAGATATAGTGTACTAGATAATATGCAATGAAATTAAGCTTACTTTAATATAACACGAGATTCACAGGTATTTTGGCGACCCTATTACAATAATTGTTAATATAGGATATAAACATTTAGTATGAAATCTGATATAAAATTTGGACTATATTTACCTGCATCTCACTATATACCACCTTAATATAATAAAATAAAATAACCAAGTTAAAGCATATTTTAATTCAGAAACATGGCAATATTTTGAGTGGTTTTGTTGATGAAGTGCTCCAAATTAGAATAAGACATATAACACATTCTGTAGCAATATTGGAGTAAGTTATATATTTTACATTATCTGAACTTCTTCATTAACAACTTTCTAATTTGGTAAAATTCGAAATTGGATAATTCTAAGAATTAAACCACCACAAAATATGTTTAAAAAAGAGAATATACCCCTAAAAG